CCGTCCCAAAGACATGCAGCTGGAATTCCTCGGCCGTATGGATCAACAGGTCAAGATTCGAGGACAGCGTGTAGAGTTGGCGGAAATTGAACACGCCCTTCTCAGACACGACTCTGTAAGAGGGGCAACAGCCCTCTTGAACCAAGGCGCCGATGAGGACACCGAGCTTGTCGCGTACATTACACTCGAACAAGATACAGACGCTACCACGCCCAATGGTGAACCATTCGCCGGCGAAGAGGGAGGAGTGAGAATACTGCCAATGGATCTCACGGTGGAAGTCGAAATCCGTACTTCGTTGAAGATCTCGCTGCCAGCTTATATGATTCCTGCCCGCATCATCGCAGTGAATCACATCCCCATGAACAGTAACGGCAAGATCGATCGGCCGCTACTGAGACAACTTAACCTGCCTTCAACACTCGGACAGACAACGCGCGAGAAAGTCGAACCGCGCGACGAGATGGAGAAAACGCTCTGTGAGGAATTCGCAAATGTTCTTGGGCAGGACGTCGGCGTGACGGATGACTTCTTTGAACTTGGTGGGCATTCACTCATGGCAACAAAGCTTGCTGCACGCCTCAGCCGCCGATTGAGCGCCAAGGTATCCGTGAGGGATGTCTTCGACCATCCTATCTTGTCTGACCTTGCAGCGACTATCCAACAAGGCTCAGAAACGCATGTCGCTATTCCACGACTTGAGCAAGACGGTCCAGTGGAGCAGTCATTCGCTCAAGGTCGTCTCTGGTTCCTCGACAAACTCAACCTCGGGGCTTCTTATATCATGCCGTTAGTGACGCGCTTGCGAGGACAACTCAGCATTAACGCACTCACTTGCGCACTCCATGCTCTAGAGCAGCGTCACGAAAGCTTGCGGACTACCTTTGAGGATCATGCGGACATCGGTATGCAAGTTGTGCAGCCTTTCCGTCCATTGAATCTCCACGTACACGACGTCTCTGCTAGGACAGAAGCCGAAATCCATGAGGAGTTGAAAGCAGACCAGGCAAGACCGTTTGACCTCGCCAAAGAGCCAGGTTGGAGAGTCTGCCTATACCGAGTTAGTAGAGACGACCATATCTTGTCTGTCCTCATGCACCACATCATTTCTGACGGCTGGTCAATGGATATTCTACGTCGAGAACTAGACATCTTCTACAGCGCAACACTTCGAGGCGAGGAACCACAAGTTGTACCACTGCCAATCCAATATCGCGACTTCGCGGTATGGCAGAAGCAAGAGGAGCAGGTTGCCGAACAGGAACGGCAGCTTAACTATTGGACCATGCAGCTTTCCAACAGTGCTCCAGCAGAGCTTATCTGCGATCGACCAAGACCCAAGGTGCTGTCTGGCGAGGGCGACTATATCCCTATTAATATCGACGGCTCGATGTACGAGAACCTCCAAGCGTACTGCCGTGCTCAACAGGTGACACCTTTTGTTGTCCTTCTGGCGGCTTTCCGCGCTACTCATTATAGGCTTACTGGAACAGAGGACGCTACTATTGGTTCCCCCATTGCTAACAGAAATAGGCCAGAACTAGAACATTTAATCGGATTCTTCGTCAATACCCAGTGCATGCGTATTACTGTGAGCAATGACGACACATTTCAAAGCCTTGTACAACAGGTACGCAGTACAGCAACAGCCGCCTTTGCCAATCAGGATGTACCATTCGAGCAGATCGTGTCAGCTCTCCTACCAGGATCCCGAGACACTTCACGTAACCCCCTTGTGCAGCTCATGTTCGCTGTCCATGCGCAGAAGGATTTGGGCCGACTACAACTAGAGGGTCTGGAAAGTGAACTCCTCTCTTTAGCACCGACAACCCGACTCGATGTAGAGTTCCATATGTTCCAGGAGAATGATTGTCTGAGTGGTATTGTCATGTACGCGCTGGATCTATTTGAGAAAGAGACGATTAAGAGCATTCTCGCCGTCTTCTATGAGGCTCTCCGTCGCGGCCTGAGTAACCCACGGACACCTGTCGCTACCCTTCCGCTTACAGATGGTCTCTCAGAGCTTCGCAGCCAAGGATTACTCGATATACAACGACCAGAGTATCCACGTGAGTCAAGCATCATTGATGTCTTCCGTGATCAGGCCGCTTTCTGTCCGGAGGCAGTCGCAGTTAAGGACTCGTTATTCAAGCTCACATATGCGGAGCTGGATCGAAAGTCAGATGAGCTGGCCAGCTGGTTGCACAAGCGACAACGACCATTGGCACCTGAGACTCTCGTAGGTGTACTGGCGCCCCGTTCGTGCGAGACCATTGTAGCCTTCCTTGGTATCCTCAAGGCTGGTCTTGCTTACCTCCCACTCGACGTCAACGTACCAACTACCCGTATTGAAACTATTCTATCCGCGGTCTCAGGTCACAAACTTGTTCTCTTTGGTTCCGACACTCAACATCCAGAAATGTCGCTACCAGACGTCGAATTGATACCAATTTCGAACACTCTAGGACACGTAGGCACTGAACGTACTACAACGGCGTCGTCACCCTCTGCGAAAAGCCTCGCCTACGTCATCTTTACATCTGGCTCGACAGGCAAACCTAAAGGTGTTATGATCGAACATCGCAACGTCGTTCGCCTTGTGAAGAACAGTAACGTAGTCAACAGACAGCCGCGTACAGCTCGAATAGCACACTTATCAAACCTTGCTTTCGATGCTTCGACGTGGGAAATATACGCAGCATTGCTGAACGGTGGAACGATAGTCTGCATTGACTACTTCACTACCTTAGATACTCAAGCCTTGAGCAAGGTTTTCATGCAAGAGAAGATCCGTGGAGCAATGTTCCCACCTGCGTTACTCAAGCAGTGTCTGGCTACAGCACCATCATCCATGCTGAGCGGTCTCGATGTCCTATTTGCTGCCGGCGACCGATTGGATGGCCAAGATGCAGTCAAGGCTCAGGCTCATGTCCCACAAGGAGTATATAATGCCTATGGTCCTACCGAGAATGCAGTCCTCAGTACCATTTACAACGTACGCCCCAAAGATCGATTCGTCGGCAGCGTCCCGATTGGCCGCCCTGTCAGCAACTCAGGCGCTTATGTTATGGATGCACAGCAGCAGCTTGTCTCCATTGGAGTAATGGGCGAGCTAGTAGTGACAGGCGACGGCCTCTCTCGGGGATATACCGATCCAAAACTTAATATCGGTCGCATGGCTGAAGTCACGATTGATGGCCAACGAGTCAGGGCTTACTGCACAGGTGATCGCGTAAGAGTTCGACCAAGGGATGGCCAAATCGAATTCTTTGGGCGGATGGACTTCCAGATCAAGGTTCGCGGTCATCGCGTTGAGCCTGCTGAGATAGAGAATGCTATGCTCGGCTGCGACGAAGTCGACGATGCCGCTATCGTTATCCGCCATGAAGAGGGACAAGAGCCGGAAATGTTCGGTTTCATTACAGCCGGCCAAAGTGGCCTCACAGGACAAGCTACAAATGGTTCTCCAAATGATTCAGCAGAGCGATTTAGAAGGCAGCTTGAGAAGGAGGTGCACAAGCGACTACAAGCAACACTTCCACCCTACATGGTCCCTGCACAGATCAGAGCTCTCCCCCAGATGCCGGTCAATGCTAACGGCAAGGTTGACCGAAGAGAGCTTTCTCGTCAAGTTGATGAACTGCCAACGCGTGAGGAGGAACGTCCACGCATGCTTCCGCAGAACGACGCGGAAACCATACTCTACGAGGAGCTCAACTACCTGCTAGGAAGAGACTTCGACATGGGTGACGATTTCTTCGAGCTGGGCGGACACTCCTTGACAGCTATGAAGCTTGCGACGCGTCTCGGCCGACGGCTCAACGCCAGCGTGGCGGTCAAGGATATCTTCGATTACCCCATCCTCACAGATCTTGCAGCGGCAATCCAACAAGGCACTAGCCCACACCGCGCCATTGTCCCGATGGGGTATAGCGGACCTGTAGAACAGTCGTTTGCGCAAGGTCGTCTTTGGTTCCTTGATCAACTTAATGTCAAAGCGATGTGGTACATTATCCCGCTAGCAACCCGCCTGCGTGGTCCGCTCAATGTCGACGCACTAAACGCTGCTCTTCAGGCGCTTGAACAGCGACATGAGACCTTGAGAACTACTTTTGAGGAGCACAGTGGTATTGGTGTCCAAGTCGTCCACGCGCGTCGCTCTGGAGGTCTCCGCATTGTCGACGCTTCTACTTATACCAAGGCTGGGGTGCTCGACGCAGTGAAGGCAGAGCAGACAAGACCATTCGATCTTGCGGTTGAACCTGGCTGGAGGGTCTGTCTACTACGAATCAGCGAGAGCGACAACATTCTATCTGTCGTAATGCACCACATCATCTCTGACGGCTGGTCAGTGGATGTCCTTCGTCGAGAACTAGACGTGTTCTACACCGCTGCACTCCGCGGGGAGCGTGGTGAGGAGTTGTCATCGCAGATCCCGGCGCTCCCAATTCAATACCGCGACTTCGCATTGTGGCAGAAGCAAGCGGACCAAGTTGCTGAGCAGCAGAGGCAGCTTGACTACTGGACAAAGCAGCTCACTGACAGTACCCCAGCTGAGTTTCTATGCGACAAGCCACGACCCGACATACTCTCCGGCCAAGCAGGTGTTGCTCCAGTTTTCATCACAGGGGCCCTATATGAGAGCTTGCAGGCTTACTGCCGTGCTCAGCAAGTGACGCCTTTCGTCGTCCTGCTGGCGGCCTTCCGTGCCACTCACTATAGGCTCACCGGCACCGAGGATGCTACTATAGGGACTCCTATCGCTAATAGGAACCGCCCAGAGCTCGAAAACCTCATCGGATTCTTCGTCAATACCCAAGCCATGCGTATTACCATTACCGAGGAGTCCTTTGAAGGCCTTGTGCAGCAGGTGCGCCATACAGCGACACAAGCATTTGCCAATCAGGATGTACCTTTTGAACAACTCGTCTCAGCCCTGCTCCCAGGACGGCGTGACGCATCTCGCAATCCCCTCGTCCAGCTCACTTTCGCTGTCCATTCCCAACGAGATCTGGGACGGCTTCGGTTTGAGGGCGTGCAGGGCGAGTTAATACCTATTGCATTAACTACTAGATTCGACTTGGAGTTCCATCTCTTCCAGGAAGAGAATTGTCTAAGTGGTAATGTGCTCTACGCTTCTGAGCTGTTTGAAGCCGCAACGGTGGAGAGTATGCTTGGTGTCTTCCACGAAGTCCTGCGACGAGGCCTTCACAACCCAGAGACGCCTATCGGGACACTTCCACTTACGGACGGCGTCTCGCGGCTGCGTAACGAAGGGTTACTTAAGGAACCAAAGACAGACTACCCGCGTGAATCTAGTATAGTTGACGTCTTCCGCGAGCAGGTGACCCTCTATCCAAATGCGTTAGCGGTCAAGGACTCATCAACCGAATTGACGTACACTGAGCTTGACCGATACTCTGATGACCTGGCTGGCTGGCTATGTAGGCGAAAGATGGCTCCTGAGACTCTAGTCGGGGTCCTATCAACGCGTTCCTGCCAAACAATTACAGCCTTCCTTGGTATCCTCAAGGCTGGTCTTGCGTACCTCCCTCTCGACATTAATGTCCCTACCGCCCGGATTGAGACCATTCTTAGAGCTATCTCTGGCCACAAGCTCGCCCTCCTTGGTACTGACATTCGGCGTCCGGACATCATGCTACCGGATGTTGAGATGGTACTGATTGCCGAGACCTTAGGACATGCAGGTACCACTACAACGATCCTGCCGACACCCTCTGCCACCAGCCTCGCCTACGTCATCTTCACATCAGGCTCAACAGGCAAACCGAAAGGTGTCATGGTGGAGCATCGAGGTATCGTCC